TAAAGACGGTGACAAATTAATATCCTATAAATCTGCCATTGCAAATAAACTTGCTGAAATTCTTGCCAAACATTCTTCATCGTCAAATTATGTTTTCGAGTTTCAGAGATATCACAAACAACAGGAAAACACAACAGCAAATTTTGATTAACAAAATGGTAAAGATTACAATGAAGTATTTCATTGCATGAGCTACATACCACTCTTTAGCAAGCTCATGATACTGCAGCAGGTGATGATAATATCCATTATCAGCTACTCAAGCAATTGCCTGAATCATGTCTTGAGATACTTTTAGATATATTTGACCAAATATTGACATCGGGGAATTTTTCTCCTTCATAGCGTAACGCCGTTGTAGTCCCCATACCAAAACCTGGACAGGACCATACATATCCCTCAAATTATCGCCCTATATCGTTAACCAGTTGTGTTTGCAAAACCATGGAACGAATAGCAAAAAATGGATTAGTATGTTTTCTGGAAACCAACAATCTTCTTACGAATATTCAATGTGGTTTCCGGAAAAATAGTAGAACTATTGATTATTTAGTACGATTAGAATCCTCTGTCAAAAATGAGGAAAAAATAAGCTGCATAAAGACCCTGAATTATTTTTGAATGTTTTGAATGGCCTCAATGTCTGAAGGCACTCGATTTATTGAAAGTGGTTTCTAATTCTCAGAGGGGAGGGAATCAGACAACCCTCTTACACTTGTACAGATCACTGATCCGTTCCAAACTTGATTACAAGCTCCATCGTATATGGTGGAGCAGGTGAAAGTAATTTACAAATACAAGATACTATCCATCATCAGAGGCTTTGCCTTGGACCCTCTTTCCTGGCTGTTCTCATCAGCGGCATAAGTACTTCTCTGCACTGGTTCACCTCATCTGGAAATTGCACCACAACACTGAATGGCTTATCTCGCAACTCTTTCCCCACACCTGCATGCTTCCTTGTGGTAAAACGAAATTTGGCAATTATAGGGTGAGGTGAGGTGAAATGGGGTTTAACGTCGCGTCCAAAATTATTGCACTTATATGGCGACGTGCATGCACGTGTATGTGTGTGTGTGTGTGGCTGCTTGTACTAGCCCAGACTGATACCAATTTATAGTGCTAGCACACTGAGATACCATGCCGCAGTTTAACATGAATACCCCACTCAGACACAGTATACTGACTCCAAGCCGACCAGTCCTTGTTTTAGCCCCTAAGTGTCGAGCGCCAGACTTTAAACGTCTTTTGGTATGACGCGGCTTGGGATCGAACGGGGCGGGCGGACGCTCTACCATGAGACCACGGAGGCGGTCGGCAATTATAGGGCGTAGCCTCGCAACATCTTGAACCTTTGAACGAAAACGTTTTCTACCTATCTTGTGGACTCTTTTAAACTGGATTTAACAACAGTCGGTGTTTATTTCTCTGGATATGATACCTCGGAGTCCTTGTTCACTATCTCTATTCACATTTCCCAGAAACTTGATTAGTGGTAGCAGACGATATCTCTTGAATATAAGTAAATATCAGACTGCTACTCATTGATCGTCATGTCTGATCAATCACTGACCCTCAAAAGCTCAGAGATTCACACTTCCGATCTAAACCATTTCCCATTAGAGAAATTCGAATCATTGTTCTATGCTATGTGTTGTTAAAATGTTAAAACATGTTGAACGTCAAATAATGGCAAATGAATGTATAACACAATATGTATTTCTACGTTTCGAAATAATTATCATTATCATTGTATTGACCTTACTGGAAGCACGAGTACCTAACCAGAGATCGCGACAACTCACTAAAGTAACCGTTTGTTAAAAGTCAAATGTTCACAGTTTCGGGGTTTGAACATGTGCACTGTCTGACATTCAAGCAATCTACGCAAGTAAAGGCAAATTAATTAGATTAATATAACAATATGTATTTTGCGTTGTTGGAAGGTGTTGCAAAATAGGCACAAGGAATGTTTTTAATTGTTGAGTATAAGTGTGTAGAATATGTTCTATAATATATCGGTAAACGCCAATTTAATGGGTTCCATTGGACATGGTTCAATGCAGAGCTCATTTACTTGTCCAAGTTTTAAAAAATGTATACTGAACCACAAAAGAAACGTCACCCCAAGTAACATTGCATAAAAAGTTGTCTTTTAAATATCCGGGTATTTTTTGTCAAAGTTACTAAAATTTAACTTTACCTTGTCCGATAAAATAAAATTTGATGATAAAAAACCCAAAGCAGATGACAATAAAACCGATCGCCCAAACGCATCATGACAACGGCCATGGTAACCCGATGCACGTGAGTTCCGTGCAAATTGAAATGCACATGCTTTCCCACATTTTTTGCCCTATAAAAATCCACCCATATCGGATAACATTCATTCGTTATTGAATTGCTACCACATGCCAAGATTGACAAGAAATCAGCGACACCAAACCCTTGGACGATTGCAAGCTGGATAAGCCGCCCGGCAAGTAGCCAATGCATTTCAAGTCCACGTAAGGACCATATACAGGCTCCAGCAACGGTACCAGACCACCAACACTACATATGACCGACCATGTAGTGGAGGACCAAGGGTCACCACCCGACGTCAGGATCGTCAGATTGTGTGACAGCATCTTCAAGATCGCTTTGTTATTGCTGCGGAAACTGCTCGACAGACCATGTTGACACACACGCGACACATTAGTGCGGACACCGTGCGTCGACGATTGACGAGCAGACACCTCCACTGTCACAGGCCACGCCGAGGACCAATCCTGACACCACCTCATCGCCGGGACCGGGCAACACAGCACCAGCATTGGCGCCACCAGCAGTGGAGAAGAGTCCTCTTCTCAGACGAGAGCCGTTACTGTGTCTCAACAGCAGATGGCAGAGAAAAGGGACTCTGGCGACGCCGTGGGGAACGTTATTCGGATGCTTATGTTGTTGAGAGAGACTCTTGTGGTGGTCCGAGCATCATGGTATGGGGTGGAATTGATCTTGCACAGAGGGTCGGCCCTGTTGTCTTCTGGAACATTGGTCCAGGGAGAGGCAATGGTGTCACAGCAGCTCGGTACATTGATCAAGCCTAGAGACCACACGCCATTCCTCATTTGGCACGTCGCCGCAACCACGAATTTCAGCATGATAACGCCCGTGCCCACACTGCGAGAGCACCAAGAGACTTCCACCAGCAGAATGGCATCAGAGCCATGCAGTGGCCTGCTCCCTGTCCCGATTTAAATCCCCTTTAGAACCTGTGGGACGAGAATCAAAGACGGCTGAATGACTTCCGACCAAGGCCGACAACTGCAGCTGAACTGCGTCAGGCGTTCCTCAGAGTGTGGGCTCAAGTGCCTATGGCCTTCATCGACCGCATCATCCATTAAAGTATACACGAATTGTTTATCAGGGCTCCAGTAACTTAAACTAAATGTCTGACGACGAATGTCATACGGGTCAACAGGATAACTCCAAATTTTGCTTGGTTTGTTGTTTTACGCAGCTAAATGACGGCGGTCTGTAAATAATCGAGTCTGGACCAGATAATCCAGTGATTAATATCATGAGCATCGATTGACGCAATTGGGATCGATGACATGCTTCAAGCAAGTTAGCGAGCCTGACATCCCAATCCCAGAACTAGTATGGATTTACGTCATATTGCTTTTTGGTTTAGGGAAAATGTATCTCATTATCATGACTTCGGTGATCGCCATATGACGCTTTGGTCGGGTTTACAGAATTTTGGGCCATGGTGGGGCTTTCAGAAGGTTATATGGTGGACATGAGGACGACGTTTCCAGATTTCACATATCAGTGACCAAAATGTTGTCCGATGCAATGCCCTAATTTGACTTGTACCGTGTTTCCCCCCGTTTCAGGTGAACATTTGGCTTACCTTTGCTTGTGTATATCGCGAGTTCTATCGATGGGGCGAGCACCTGTAGACGTCACTGGATAGTGATTCATAAAGGAACAAACGACTTTGCTTTGAGCAGCGATGTTTTATGAATCTGGAAAGGGTTTTGTTGCTTTTAAAAAAATTGCGGTAGTCGACTTCTATCCCAAGGATACTCTTGTTCTTGGGAGTATGAATTTCCAAAATAGCCCCCACTTTGGCCTGTTCATGCCCTGCCACGTGACCTAGGTAGGTTTATCGGAGATATCTTTGTTCATCAAGCGTTGGAATAATTAGCCTCGTCCAAGTGTTCACCTCTTCCTTGACTAATTGCAACTTTCTCCCAGTCTGTCGCACACCTCTAACTTTCCAATCCTTTCTCAACCCACCCATTGGTGGATTATATATGATATGAGCTTGCAGATAGTTCCGTCTCTCGAAACAGCGATATTCAAACTGTACAAGCTCCAATTTGCAACTGTCAAATTGATCTGCCCTTTCAATTTGACTCTCAGTCTCTTGACTTGAAAATAGCTATCTTACTTTTTTTTGTCAAATATTTCTTTCTGATTGCACTTGAATTTGTTTTGCGAAGTTTTAAGGAAACCCCAGGACAAATTTGCCGGACATGTTGTGTTTGTTAACTCTGTATTGACATATGAGTGATCTTGATGTGTACTATTTACCTGTTCCAGCTCTTTTATGAATTGGTTTGAAACTTTAATGTTTCTACACTTGGAATTATATCTTTATTAACGACAAGTCTTATACATTTTTTTACGACCGACAAATACAGCACATGGTGACAGACAGATATAATTTCATAGTGTCCTATTTAGCATATAAGCAATCAAGAAAACACGATTATCGCATTATTTTATTGAATCAATACTTACATACATAGGTATCTAACACCATGATACCATGATGAGTACCATTCTTCTTGAACACATCACTTCTGCGAGTTGTCTTAAATATGCCTGCAAAAACATGAAGTTAAGCGATCTGCCATCATGTTTCCAACACTTCAAATGACCATTGAGTCTTTTTTTAAGTCAAGCTATGAAAAAAAAACTTGAGACAAAAGACATTTTCTATCGGGCATTTTATTAACACGAATCGCTGATACATAGCCTTCAGTATTGTAAAAAATGTAGATCTGTTCGTGTGTATGCATACACGATTTAAAACATTGAATGTATTTATGTATAACAGTTATCGGCGTTACGAACAAAATACATCATGTGTACACTGCATGTCATTTCATATTTAGTAGTTTTTCTATTATATGTAATATTTGTACCATTTAGAAACATTCATTTTGCCTCACATAAACATCACTAAACCAAATTGTCAGTTGCGATTCTGTGTCTGCGCACCATAACCGTGCTTGTGGATTTTACCTTGTTGTGTGACAAACGTAGTGGAACCTGCAGCACTTTGGGCTTTCCCCTTCATAAAAAGTTGACTCGGCATGAGACAACCAACATGATATTGAAGACGGTGATCATGAATACTCATCAACTCAGTTCAATATTATTACATGTAGAGTGAGTGTAGATTCTTGAATATGTTATTTCCTTATGATTTGGACTTTGTTTGGTGGTAGATATGTAACTTATTTGGACCACCAGTATCTCGCCAAAACAACTGTCTAATATGAAACAACGGTGATAGGGACTATAATTTCTAGTGACATCGTCTAGATTAACGTGTTTCCGGAGAAACGTATAGTCACAAACACGCGCTCTTATATGTAAACAGGGGACCCCGGTAAAGACCGCCAATATGTACATGTGCAGCTTGATTCTACAGAAACGATCTAGGAAAATATCTAACCGTGTGTCACTGTAATTCAAAGTTGTCCATCTGTCAATGCACGAAGTTAAAGAGCTTTCTCGTTCAATTCTCTGATTACAATGAAATGGTGATGTGGTCCGCTCCCTCATTGATATAACAGGAGCCCATAGCGCCTGCATTCAGCGAAACACAATATTGAGTACAGAAATTTGTCAAATCTCCAATGAGCTTTTTCTAACAGTCTTCTCTTCACTGACTTCTTCAACATCTTTATCAAGTGTGTAATCTCTTCTCGAAATCTCTACTGTCGTGTCCGCCAGCGGGGTTTTATTTGTCTCGGGCAACAATACTGTTAACAGTGTACAGACTGCCATGGTCGATCCGACAATAACAAAAGGGGGTAATAGATCTTCACCTCCCTGAAAAGTCAATCAAATGTTAACATTTCAGGAGAGAAACATGTATCTCATATTACCACCTGTAGAAATGTTTTGAGAGTGGGTTATTTAAAGGGTCGGTGGACTGTTTCATATACCACCAGAACAGAATCGTGCTTTGGGACAAATCGAGAATTAACATCAATAACCATATTATACATACAACAACCAATACACGTACAGTTGCGATATCGATTTTGAAAATCCTCATTGAGAGACGAAGAGAAACTTGCAATACAGCAAAGCACAGGGGCGTGAGTAGGAAGAATGTCATCCGTAGCATCGAGGCTGTAAATACGATGTACTACTTACAACGGATATCCATATTAATCTATTTTATTTATAACTGCGCAGCCTCCTGTTTCACACATAGGGGCAACGGAGTCTCGTGTACATTTCACTTTGTTTGGGACACAGAAAACATAATGATTCCTCAAGTTACATTGTGTCCATTCTTAGTGCCCGCAGGCATGAAAGCATTCAACTCCCTCGATCTTGGTACCCACTCACCATGGCAAATGCATAAGGAGACACGATACTCCCTACACGGGCAGCAGTGTTGGCAGCACCATAACCCAGATTCCTGGAAGATGAAAACACTGATATTCCATTTCTAACTGAGAGCTACATTATGGTTACTATCATGATACTGGCATGTTACAGTTACTTAGAAGGGACACTGGGACCCATGAGTCAAACACGCCATATAGACATCGCCTCTTAGCCGTCCAATGGTTGTCTTGTCATGGTATGAGCCCAAGAATTGACGGATTATTATCATTGTTCTGTCAGAGCCATACCCGTGATCATGGGTTACACCCGACCATCAAAACTTTAGGTTACATTAAGCTCTCAATCTGTGAAATAATAAAATCCCTCTTACTCAAAGGGGGTACGGGTGGCCCAGTCGTCTAAGGCGCCGCGATTCGCTGTGCAGAGTTGCGTCACTTAGGCCTATGAAACCTATGATTGTGGGTTCGAATCCCGGTTCGCCCCGATTATGTTTCTATGTTTGCCAGCACCATACCCGTGCTCGTGGGTTTCACCGAAGTTTTAAACGTCTGAGACCTGCATCACTTCGGGCTTTCCTCCCACATTAAACTGACACGCCGTGATATGACTGGAATACTGTTAAAAGCGACGTAAAACCCAACTCACTCACTCACTCCCCTCTTACTCAAACGGAAGTCACTCACTTAGGAGATAAACATACTGTGTTTTCAATGTAGGGCTGGGTTACCTGTAGATTTAACCGCGCTAAATTGAATTTGGAACCGAACGCGCAGCAGTATGTTTATCTCCATTCTACCATGACTAAATAAAACGCGTACTCTTTGGTGTTAGCAAATATACTGAGTGAAGCGGCATGGGTCCAGTGTTTTGAGTTGGTTATCGATCTGAATTACGGAATCACCGAACAAAATATGGCGTTGTAAAAACTCAAGCAGTTTGTTTACACCGTTATACTTCACTCGAACATATGACAGGCATTTTAATCATATAAGCACGGCAACTTGTAAGCTAACATGAGGTGGGAATCCCTACAGAAAACAAAGCAAGCTTTGCAAGGCTTTCGCTCGACATCGCACGTCACCATTATGACATTATATCGCTCATTGTGACGTCATATATGCACGAAATGTATTGCCACACATCCTTTGAATATTGTAGTAACCGCATCTGTGCATTTTGTAACCTGTAATTGTAGATATAATTATTTAAATATGACTACCGACAATGACTGAAAATAGTACTATTCTATGACTATTAGCTTTCGCGGTGATGCGGCCGTCAAACTAGCTGTTTCAATCAGAGGGGGTTTATTGTGATTTAATAGCCTCTGATTGACCAATCAGAATCGAATAAATTCCAAATTCATGGTAGAATTCTAGGTATACCTAGTACCTGATAACTGTTGGGTATTGCTCACTGGTGGTCGTCTGAAAAGAGTTCCAAGCGGACCCTACTCCAAACCTACAGATCAGAGCCATCGTCGTTGTTGCTGGTCCACGGATGCTTTCACTGGAAACTACATTTCGCATTCATGGCGCCTTACAATTCGGTTTAAAAGATTCATGTAGTTAATATGTTCCCAAATTACAATGATAACCTTCGATCTCAAGAAATAGTAACAACGGAGCTCTAAACATCTATCTTTGTCCACTGTCAGGAAATGGTTATAACATAAAAAGTGTTAAGTATTCATATATATGCGCATTTGTATTAAGGGTAGAAATCCTGTAGTTACTCCTGTGGATATTCATTGACAGAAAAAACCGGGCCAAACAAATACATAGTTAACGACGACAAGAATGTAACTTGCCAATTCTATTGCAAATGATCTAATGTGAGATACACTTCAAATATAGAATGCATACCGACTCTGGATACAATAACCACGCCAAATGCCCCAATGGTAGCCACAGAGAAAAAGATGAATGTTGTCCATCTCCTTCCGATTCTGAAAGATAAAGAATTGCATCCTGTGTAAACAGTTGATATTTTAAAGAAAAAGTGGTGTTTTGTGTTCGTACATTTATATTCGGTTTGTCGTTAACGTCACACTCAGCAACAATCCAGATTTGCCACCGAGCCTGACCATCCCATGCATAGTCGTCTCTTACAACATATATACATGTAGGTTGCTGGGAAACTCTTTTCTTAGCCGGAATCACCACGGATCTGGTATGTGTATGACAGAATTATTAACATTTAATACTTTATAAAGAAACAATACATTTTCCTGCATTTTCATAAACACTTTTGCTTTAAGTTTATAAAATGTTTATATATTTACATCATATACAGGTAAAGCTTTGTCGGAGTTCAATAATTTTAAATGTTGAAAACTCCAAAGGTATTATTTTTTACAACAATTTTCCTTCAAGTGTTTGACATAAATTCAAACCAGCATTTATTTACGACATGGCATATAGTAAATGTACATACAAACCTGCTACTTAGAAAGAATACCATCGTTGTTCCGGGTAATGCTATGATAGAAACAAGGAACATGTTGAGGTAGAGGTTCCCCGCCAAGTTTCCAACGCCGAATGAAATTCCATAATACGAAAAGGACATGCACATCCTGTGGGGAAGAATGAACATGAAAATACATTCGTGCTGTATTATATGCCTAAGGTAAGAATGCGTACTTTTCTAAATGTTAACTTACCAGATCACCTGAATAACCAGAGATTTCCAACAGATATCCCAGTGACGATAAATGTCACGATAGTTGTATTTGTGATCGGAATTTCTCCTTTTCTTCTCCTCTTCTGACAGTTTCTTCAGGAGAATGGCAGTGTTGGCTGGCTTCTTTCTTTTGTTGTAGCGAGCCATCTGATCCACCACATTCTCTGCCTCCTCCAGCTTACCATGAACTGCCAGCCACCGCAAACTTTCTGGCGCAACACTGTGCAAGGTTAAATTTATTGACAACCAATTCACAAATAGTTTCGTTTGTAGATGGACGATCAAAACCTATGTCAACTTGTAGCATTTCAAACATATATATTTTGATCAATGATCGCATCTCCCTGTTTCTACAGTACAATCATATTTATTTTTAACAATTACCGATCATATACTAGAGAGTATATATTTAAACCAACGGATATAACTCACAACCAACAAGCCAAGAAAGGGATATGTAGGGCAGCTAGTATGATATGTTGATCAGACCAATCCGGGCGCAGCCAACACGACATGGCAAACAGGGCTGATCCAAATTGCCAGAACGTAATTGCAGATGTGATCTGACGCCAACCCTTTCCTATGAACTCCATGGTGTAGGGAAAACTAACCACTAAGTGTGAACCAACCATAGCTCCAATAAGAAACCTGTAAAATATAATACCTGTTAGTGTAATAAAATACAGATTGTATCATATCATGTTCGTAGCCAAACAACAAAAAGCACAAACCAAATGTGTCTTACAACGTAAACTTGTTTACTCGTTTCGTTTATTTGTGTATTATAATGTAAACTGGTTATATTCTGTTTATAGCCTACCTTAGCACTATAAACATCTGCCATGACACTGAAAACGCAGCCACCAAGTTCAGTCCTCCATGTAACAATAGAGCGATAAATAATGTCTTCTTTCTGCCAATAACGTCAGCAGACTGGCCACTGAAGAGGGCTCCTATCAAAACACCTCCCATTTGTACCGATGTGATTAACAGCCTGATTCCTGCCCTGTCACAGACAAAGTCCCACTGAAACGGAAGTTTGAATAGCATTATGGAGCAAACTCTTATTTCATAGAATATGGTTCAATAATATTAGTCATACTTACAACATCAATTCACAGAATGTGTATAACTTATAAAATCGTATCCCTAGTCTAATGAATAGGGCGCCTGCTCAGTCTGTGGTTCGATATCCTGGTCGCGTCATACTCCGTGACAAAAGATCGCTCTTGTCTTAATTCAATCTTTATTTCACGTACTGAAGAGGCCACAGGCATATAGTACAATTTGAAGAATATAAAATTTTATACAATTTATGTACATATCTCACCAAATCACCTCACGTCATTCCACATCGCATCCCAACACAGTCACATAATTTCACACATACATGGCTCTTGTTGTTACCCTGCCTGACGTTCGGCATTACGGGGATAAAAGTTTGGGTAGACACGGCATATCGGTGGGCTAGCACTCCAGACAAGTACAATCAGCCACACGCACTCTTGCATGCACATCGTTATGTAACCACAATGATCTTGAATGTGACGTTTAATCTCACCTCACATCACTGACACTTCTCGACAATCTATGACCTAAATCTATTACCCACGTGGTACTACGTAAACAGGCAACACAAACAAACTCCTATATTATACGCCTACCATGCCCCTTGTGAGGAATTGGAATAGCTGAATGCGGACTTTTCCTGTGCTAATTTTGTTTTTTTTCTTTTACTTATTCGTAAGTTTGATTAATCATGAATATGGATACCAAAAGATTACAAATACCTATGATTTCCTCACATGTAATTCAGCGGTCTCTATACGTGGTTCCCATGAGTGTGATGTAATGAACCTCTATGTTAACCTTTTTGCACACGTATTCATACGCACTTTTCTCTCAGGGTATACATTTGTCAATATCTAGTATGTCAACAAATAGGATACAAAACCCTTGAAATATTTTTTCTGAGGTAAGTAATATTATAATCGGACCATAACTACCATTACTGTTGGAACAAAACTTTAAAAATGATAATGTAATGTTCTCACCTCATTTACAACAGTACTTTTCTCCGTGCTGTACACAAAGGCACACGTGGTGCTATTGTCCCCAACTGAGCACTGTTTCAATCCTGTGTTATTACTGGCGTCGTTGTTAATTACATTAACACACCACCATAGTTGTGGCGTCACCCCCGCGAAAGACATCATCAACATTCCCCAAGACGTAATCAGCTTCGGCCCATTAAACACAAATATTACCAAGGCCTGGAACTTGGACATTCCTCCCACTCCATCTATAATCTCATCAGAATACATGTTCACATGTGCTGCTCAAACTGAAACAAAGAAACATGCATAGAATTATGCATTTATCGTCCATTGTCTACCGTCGTGTCCACACTATTGTTATTAGTGATACATTAGATTCACAAACTTAAGCATTAACAGGAGAATCTGTATCACATTCAGTTGATATACAGTTTACTACTGGCAAGTTATGCCATAAAATTTAGAAAGAAACTTATATATCTGTACCACAGTAAGGTCACATACAGTTTGGGGCGGTCGGGTAGACGAGCGGTTAAAGCGTTCGCTCGACACGCCGAAGACCCGGGTTCGATTCCCGACATGGGTACAATGTGTGAAGCCCATTTTTGGTGCCCCCCGCCGTGATGTTGCTGGAATATTGCTTAAATCGGCGTAAAACCACACTAACACACTCATATTCAGTTTACTACTGAAGAATTAAGCCAGAAAATGAGACACATTTTAGATAAGCGCCCTAAACTGTTCACATATCCAATACAATAGTGTATGTAAGAGCCAGTCTGTTAATGCGACATTATATACTTACGCGTCCACTGAGAAAGTTATCAATGATCATTTAATCAACGTGTTATCGGATAATCCTGTTGATCACTGATTAAGCAGCACGTACACGTCACGCATGGCCACGTCACACCAATGGCGCTGTAATACTGTAACGTACGTATATACAGTTACAGTACGACTGTGTCAGTTGACATGACTTTAATCGAACGGAAAGTCTAAAGGGAAAGCTCTTTATTATGTCCAAAATAGCTCAAAATGTATATGACTTCTTCATTACTACGTATACGTAATAAATCACTGAAAAAGATGCCTTTTGAAACAAGTTGTCCAAAACCTTATTCCAATAGTAACAATGGTTGTGAAAGTTTTGTATATTGTTGTGTGATGTTAAACCGTTCGCACCTATGCAAATAATTATATATAATGTGCACGTGGAAGAGTTTCAAGGTTGGTAAAGTGCTGAATAGCATATAAACTTTAATCAGTTGCAACGCAACTGACCGTTCCACTCTTGCTGATGTATTTCATTCACAACAATACACCTGGATGTAAAACCCAAAATGGATTGAAAAGTTACCCTGGCAACTTGAATGATTTGGGGAATTTCTACAAACGATGCGACACGTGTCAGACAGCGTTGAAGATGCCACAGCCTACACTATTAAACCACATTAAATGGAAAATGGCCGTCAATGTCAATGTGTTCAGTCTGTTCAGAGCGTGTGTGTGTGTGTGTGTGTGTGTGTGTGTGTGTGTGTGTGTGTGTTTTCATTGTTTATCGTAATTCTATATGCAAAAAAATAATATCAAGTTCATTCAAATATTTGTATGACATGTTTCCACAAAAACTGGAGTGAGACATGTCTTTTACCTACAGCCATTTCTTGTACGGGATCGTTGAGAAAACTTTCGTGAAATATACCACTTCCTACAACATGTGATATATTTATACGACCAATTTTACGATTTTGTGAAATTATTTGGCAATGTTGGCATTCATTGATTTGAAGTGTAACGTTGACTGGACATCACTTTTACAGTGTGAATATATTATTTTAAATTTTTGTCATATAAATGATGTGATGTGAATCATTTAAAAAAAAAACTCGAATAGGTGACGTGAATGTATCCATTTCGGAAGGTCCTTTATAAGAAGCGGGCGTTGTTGTATATCAAATATGTGTCGATATTGCTTCAAATGTATGCCTTCGATGTCTCTTTGATCCGTTGCATTGGTTGAACAAGCGTTTATTCTAAAATTACTGTATGTCATAGAAAGGTAGCTAGGTACGCTGTCATAGCATAGCGTGAAACCTTGTATAAACACCAGAGAAGTACACGTGTTTTTATACATTTAGGATGCTCTAATGTATACATTTCTAGGGTATGTCGACATTATGGTATATTTGCAGATTATAACACACAATAAGCTGTTCAGAAAGTAATTGTGAAATTTTGCATACAGATCAGACAAGTGCTAAATTGGTACCTTTCGCTTTTCAAATTTTGTTTACATTTTGCCTTTCCATGGCAACATGACTGGACTTCGTGCAAATATAGGTAAGGTTCCTTTCAGGAACATTACTCATTACTTTGTATATACGTTAGACATCTACTGCATGCTTTATCATGTTTTTACAACACCCGTGGTGTGCACTGCTCAATCGAGACGCCAGTCGATACATTTATGATATGTTCAAAAACAAAGAATCGAAATGTCATTGGTAACGACGTCGTGATCTTTGCAGAGACAAAGACCCAGGCCACCTGCTTATCAGGGACGAATGAAAAACGCTTATGATGTCAATCACTGGATTATCTCGTCCAGACAATTATTTACTGACCGCCATTAGAATATTGCTGAATGCGGCCTTAAACAAAGTAAAGAAAATCGCTAAATGGCAAATCACAATAATATTTCCCAGAGCAATGTTTCACTTCACAACGTCTCAAACCAGTGAACACATTACATCTCATAAACACTTCAAACGATTTAGCGCAATTAATTTCTTTTTGTTCGCTGTTCAAATTTTGTTATTTTTACATTTTGCCTTTCCATGGCAACAAGACTGAAATGTCATTGATAACGACGTCGTGATCTTTGCAGAGACAAAGACCCAGGCCACCTGCTTATCAGGGACGAATGAAAAACGCCAGTAACATGAACGCTCGCCTCATTTATGTTAGTGACTATTCCAATTGCATATATCGATGCTTATGATGTCACTCACTGAATTATCACGTCCAGACAATTAATTACTGTCCGCCACTGGAATATTACTGAATGCGGCGTTAAACAAAGAAAAAAAATCGCTTCTGCAAATCACAAGAATATTTCCAAGAGCAATGTTTCTGTGAACAACGTCACAAACCAGTTAACACATTACATCTCACAAACACTTCAAACGATTTAGCGCAATTGATTCTATTTCCTTTCACTGATTGTAATAACAAAGAACCAAAATAAGACATATTAGACTCCTAGTAACAAGAAGCAAGCAATATAAACACATAACGAAGCGCTTCATTACCTGTTTGTGGTAAACTTGAATTCCGAATCTTGACTAAACTGGATGTTACATTCTGTTTGTGCAACGAAAGAACCCAATTCTCTTAACGGAATGATATATCAGGGTTATAACAGGACACCTCCTCACTCAACTCCTCCAATTGAAGAAGGCTATATATGCGAAGGAGGTCATGAGAAGGGTACAAGAGAGTGAGTACACATTGCCGGATCATGTTGCACGGAATCATACCGACAACACACACAGGATAGGTTACATTACTGGGACGGACCCTTCACTGTAAGGTGCTGACTCACCCAAATAATTTAGAGTTGATATTTGAACTATAGAAAACATACAACTCAATCCGGTCTGCCACATCCCCCGCACGATTCTAACTGTTGCTGATCACGTGACACAGAATACTCTACCCGGTTGGAGACATCGCCGCCCGTCTGCGCAAACAAACCGCTCGACTCCCTGTTTTCTGTCAGTAGCCAGCTTGTGATCGTATACTTCAAAATATTTACCACGATATGCTTGTATAGGAAACTTTAGGTTGTCTCATATTATCAAATATTGTACACGTGTCCCAATAAAGGTACTTTATAACCTGTCCTATTAATGGAAAATATAAAACACCAATGCCAGAGAATAACCAGACCTCGATTATCCGACGAGACGAAACGAAACTGATTCCATTTAGTGTAAAATGCAAAACAGCCGTGACAATCAGAAGAATGGACCACTGAAAATCAGTGATGACACCAGGTGTTTGAAAACACTTTCGTTCTGTAGAGACGTGTTATTAATACACGAACATCGCTATGAAGAAGAATATAGGCGATGGGATACTGTGTTTCAATTCTATCATGTACACTGTGTTGCCACTTGTTTGTTTTATTGACGTTCTTGTACAAACCTTTGAACATTTATGCTGATATGTTTCGTCTCTCCATCGTTATTTGCTTTTCGCACAAGGCTCTTCTTTTTTGTTGACATGAAATAGATTTGCTTTCAGAAGCATGTTCATGCGACATTGGACGTTATAATTATTACCTTACATGTACTCTCGATCATACACTCTGTTATACATGTAATTCTAGACCGGTGTGAAGGGAAATGATACGTAGGACTCAGATGGAGAAGTACATATAAACGTAGTATAACTTTAGTTGTACCCATCTACAAGAAACACTTTTTGACCCAGCAAACAATTCTACGTTGTGACAACGTTGACTTTTCGTTGCCACAACGTTGTGATGTTACGTTGTCACAACGTAAATCTGTAGACTCCCAGATTGGTTGCTACTACGTTGTGCGTAAACCAAAATACAACCAAATCAAGACGTTGTCACAACGTCCATTTTTTACATTGCTACAACTTTTGATCAAAACGTCGCGACAACGTGTCTCGCATACATATGGGCGATACTACAACCAATGCAGGACGTTGTTGCAATGTCCTGGTAGATTAACGCCTGTTTTATTCTTCAATACCTCCCAGGCAGCCTGAAATGTTGGTACCAATCTAGTTAAAACATCAGGTACCAAGCAGTACATTCTGCAATCTGAATTCCCTTTAACCCTATCCATGAAACAGCAAGTCAATGAAATGCACTCTCTTTTGGCAGAGTACATCGGCATAGTTTGAAAAACGGCCACGAAAAAAACCTAAATGTTTTTAATGACATGTACAATTTGGTTGTATAATTTATTTTCCAAAACAATTTTCAAGGCTATGTGCAAATTGTTCACAAATGTTTCAACACAGTTAAAAGACATTTGATTTTCCCACGTATTTGCAAAATTTTAATTAAAAACCATCAGACAATAAGCCCTGCACAAATTGAAACATTTATATTTTCTTGGCCTTACCCATACATTCAGCATTGAGAGCAACACTGAGGCAAGCTGAATTGTCTTTGTATCTGATGTCTTTAGATCCATTTCTTTGATCCATTACAAAATATGATGACAGCAACGAAATGACAACAGAATCCTGGTTGAGGTCACCTTTATTTATTTGTTAAATGACAAGTCAGAACTTGGGCTTAGTAGCTGAGGAGCCTTTTCAGTCCTCAAATGAAGAGTCAGAAGAACTTATCACAAGGATGATCATCAAGTGTATCCTTTGTCTCTCCTTATGCCTTGGTAACTGTATAAAACAATGACACAAATGTAATAAAATGACAAGGCAAGGGACATATTTTTGACATAGATATCAAACAAAATAATGGGTCAATAATGGTTGCATTCCCCCAAATAATATTTTGATGTCTGATGTCAGTCATTAAACTGTTAAAAACTTCTGAAAGTGCGAAGAAGACATTGACAGTAATACCATGATGCTCTTGGATCATACATAGGCGGAAAAACTTTTAGCATTGAATTGAACAAGGCAAAATGTGAGCACAGTTCACTAATACCCCAACTCCATCCACTCAAAAGGCAATATTTTCTCAGATAATCCACTTATCGAAATCACACTTTGCACTGTACCTCTCCTAATAGTATAGAAAGGGTTCCTTAAATTTGAAAAATAATCCATACAGTAGTTCTCAAGTTATAGGTCGCACAAATGTTGAATTAAAAAATATTTTAAGTTCAAAACATGAACAAAAGCTATATTTTCTCATAAAATACGCTGATCGAAATCAAACTTGTTTGTATATATTATTGCACCATACATACCTTTCTGTCAGTGATGTACTTCAAATAAATATGCTTCCTCAATACTGTTTATTACACCTGAAAGAAAAACAGAAATCACAATGTATCACATTCTCAATAAACCAGTACTGTATAGATAAATCCAATTAACTAACAGTACTAGTATGATGTAACTGGTGTTAATATTGGCAAATAGTTTTATCAGTCAATAGATCAACTGTAATTATTCAAAAGCAGTAACTTTACCTTTCTTCTGTACATCAAAAACTAGTGATTCCAGTGACACTGAATATGTTGGCCAATTTTCTAAAAAAACTTATTTGAAAAATATATAGATAGATCTAAATGATAAATATATATATTGCCAAATGAAATAAATAGTTCCCATATTTGAAGCATGGATGTTGAATATGAATAATGAGAATTGACCCACCAAATAGTGATAGAAGTGTTAACTCTTCAGGTTTTTTATCCAAATTAAAATTGTGAAATTTTTTTTTTTAATACTGACATTAATATTTGCTATATTAATATGCCAGGATATTTATATAGATTCTATGTTCTAACATTTACAAAGATAGTAACATTGGAAAATTAACAAAATACAATAGCTTAGACAATACCAGACGAAGTTGAAACAGCTCTGTAAATATTTATTGAAATAAATTATTCACAATCGGACATGATTTCATGACCATATCGTACCCAATCTAATCCAATACGTACCCTTAGTTTTAACCATAACTCCCCGCAGTAGTTGATAATTCCTATATATACACAAATAAATAAGAGGCTATGTCATCATCTATCCCTCTTTACAACAAAAAATATAATCCCACGGCCACTGTTTGGTGATCGAAAACTGAACTCGCGATGTTGCCGACAACAGTGAAAAGCACTGAACATCGATCAGCAGGAATCAGCATACGCTTATTATATCATGTACACGGAATCTTTAGAGTTTCGGAAAGGTTCGTTCTGAATTATTCCGTTTGGTTGATATTTTTTACCATAAAATTGCCACAAGCGAAAACGAAGTTGATCTTTTCAGTTGAGTTTCCATTTTCAGCCATACACGAGAATAGAAACAATCAGTATTCATTTACAAATACGACAGTCAGATTTTTTTAAGGTATTCATGTGGTCACTCGCTGTCCGGTGACCTCCCAACTGTTGGAACTATCTAAGATGGACACCGCACCTTATGCGATACGGTGCACATTACTCTGCACTAACTTTTCCTCACGATCACTACAAACTTTATGATACGGACTATCTCGACACTTCTTTGGATGCCACTAATAGTATGCTAGTATATTATGGTTATGCAAGCAATCAGAGTGACATATTATGAAGTTAGTGTACATGGTGTTTTTAATTTCTGAAAAATAATTACTCGTGTTGATTTTTCTGAATGAACAATGGTTGTTTCTTCTCTGGTACTGTTTGAACATAATAATAAGACATTAATTAAACACTTACCTCTATATATTCTAGGAAAACAGAACTCCGATGACTGAGTGAGTGAGTGAGTGAATTTGGTTTTACGCCGCTTTTAGCAATATTCCAGCAATTTCACGGCGGGGAACACCAGAAATGGACTTCACACATTGTACACATGTCGGGATTCGAACCCGGGTCTTCGGCGTGACGAGCGAACGCTTTAACCACTAGGATATCCCACTGCCCCCATCCATCGATGTGGAGTTATCTCAGTTGATATTTGTACTGGTGTAAACTACACATATGGAAATACATACTAATTAGTGTGGCCACATAGTCAACACTAGGCTACCCGACCGCCCATCCGATGACTGAGCTTCTGCTTGATTAATATTTACCACAGTAACGTAAAACGTTGTTATGGGGGGGGGGGGGGGGGGCAATTGCTTTCAGGTAGTTTTATAATATGGATTAAAATCCTTATGTCGAATATATAGAATAGTAATGATTTGTTTTTCTGACAAAATCAAGTTGATTTTGATGAAAGATTCCAATTTCTATGACCATCGCGCCCAAACTGTATGACGTCGCAACAACGTTCTAGAAACGTAGTTACTAAAACGTTGTGTGATATCACATACACAACGTTTACACAACGTAAATATGCAACGTTTGTACTGCGTTGTGAAATAATGTTAAACAGAGACGTAATAATAACGTTGTGACAACGTTATATCACAACGTTACCAATCTAAAACCTTACCACAACGTTGTGAAGACGTAGTGTGTTAGCTGGGGAGGTACCATATGTGCCCATACGGATATACAGGAGATAAACAACATATGATTTCACAATTATTTTTAAAGAATGCCACAAGTACAAGATGAAAATGACAACATTAACTGGGCTGCTCATGTTAGAATGCTTCTGTTTTTGTATATGCATACCTACCACAGGGTCATTGTATGCATCTAATTAGGAGCAGGTGTGTTAATATTGATTTACAAAACTGGAACGAAAACACAAGCAAATCTGTAATTTTAAGTCACTATGCGTCTAACAAATTATTATTGGAAACTGAAGTTTACGGAGTCGTACATTGTGTCTTTGGATAAGGATCTTGTCAGAGTACTGGATAAATTCCGTTGCCTGATACATGGTTCTAAAACAGCATTTTAACAAACATGTTGATCCATTACGAGGGCTAGTAGAAAAGTTCTAAGTCTGACTAACTTTCGACTGTCAGACAAAACAAAGTGAAAATGGAAAAGAACGAGTACCGAACACTCATCAGGCTTCTGACTAAAGAGAAAATAACTTCCCAAGAAATTCATGACCGCCTGTCACAAGCGTATGGGGATAAGTGCTCTAGCTATTACATTGTTAAACGTTCATCAGGTATGTTTAAGGCTGGGAGAACAAGCCTTGATGTTGACCCTAGGTCTGGACTTCCCCAAACTTCCGTCAATGAAGATTCAACCAAGAAGAACTGCATTGACATGAAAAAATCCTATGTGAGAGAGGTTCTAATTTATAAAGATGGTAACTATGCGAAGTTAAATGAACTGATTGAATCAAGTGATTGGATGTGCATGTTAAATAGCTGCGAGTCTATTGATGAAATATGTGATATTTTTCTGTCCACATTTAAAAATTATATAAGCTTATGCATACCAAGCCGTGCTGTCACAATAACGCTAAAAGATAAACCATGGTTTGATAGTGAACTAAGATTTATCTAAATATAGAAAACAGAGAAATAAAGTTAACAATTTGAAGAAAGCTGCCAAGGAAAACTTTTATCTTAACTTAGATGAATTATTATCTACACAAATCAAGGAAATCAGTTCTAATTATTGGAACTTTTACGTCACTTGATCAAAGAGTCTGGAGCCAGCACCGTGATCCCACCTCTGGTCACTAACAACAACACTGTACCTGAAGCATTTTCTGATTTTGATAAAGCTGAAGCTCTCAACGATTATTTTACGTCAGTTTCCAATGTTGACGATGAAGGCCCCTCACTACCACCATTTGTTAAACTATGTGAACATGAATTGGATTATACCGTTATTGAAAGTCAAGAAATAACAGATCTCATAAAGTCCCTACCGGTAAATAAAGCAAGCGGTCCCGACAACCTGAAGCACAGATTACTTAATATATATCACTATCCATAGCTAATCCTTTACGCTTGTTATTTAATTTGTCTCTTGAACATATAATAATAGCACATTCCCATCACAGTGGAAACTTGCTAATGTAATGCCTTTGTACAAAAAAGGGAGATAAATCCAACCCTTCCAACTACAGGCCTATTTCACTGTTATCTTGTCTTGGGAAATTATTTGAAAGACTCATTTTTAAAAGAATGTATAATTACTTTCTGGAGAATAAACTACTTTCCAAATATCAATCGGGATTCATGCCAAACAATTGTACTACATATCATTAATTGAAATTTACCGTCACATTTGTAATTTACTTGATGATCATAAATATTTTTGTATGATATTCTGTGATATATCTAAGGCATTCGACAGGGTATGGCACAAAGGTATATTGCATAAACTTCAACAATATGGTATAACTGGTAAATTGTTAGCTTGGTGTCGTAGTTATCTGTGAGCCCGTTGCCAAAGAGTATTTATTAATGGTAGTTTATCAAGTAAAAAAATCACTAAAGCAGTTGTCCCACAGGGCTCTGTACTGGGGCCGTTCCTATTTCTAGTTTACATAAATTATATTACTGATCAGCTTCAAAATATTACAAGGTTATTCGCCGACGATACATGTATCTACTGATATGGTCGTAATTGAAGACAGACTAAATCAAGACCTTCTCTCTCACCACCAGTGGGCAAGCACATGGCTTGTAAACTTTAATCCACCCAAGACAAAATACATGCTTTTATAGTCACAAACAGGTACAGGATTATTCAACTATTTGCTATGCTAACAGTGCCATTGAACATGTTGAAACCCACAAAGATCTGGGGGTCACGTTTTCTAAAGATACGAAATGGACTGCACATGTTTCAATTATTGCTAGGACAACAGCGAAAATGGTTTCAGCCATGCGTAAACTTAAATATAAATTAAATAGATATTATCTGTCAAAAGTCTATCTGACATTTATAAGATCTATTCTGGAATACTCATCGGAAGTATGGGACAACTGTTCTGCTTATAACGAAAATAAACTTGAATTAATACAACTTGACGCTGCCAGAATTGTGACAGGCTTGACCAAATTTGCCTTGAGAGAAAGTTTATATTTCGAAACCGGTTGGCTACCACTAAGTGAGAGACGAAAAATTAAAAAAACTTTCGACAGTGCACAACATAATAATAAATGAATGTCCCTCATATCTAAATGATTTGTTACCCCACAATAGATCAGCTGCTTCAAATTATAACCTACGTAACAAACAGAACATGACTGTACCTTTTGCCAGAACAAGTACATTTCACAAATCATTTATAATAGACTCTTTAAAACAATGGAATTCACAAAATAAAAATATTAAAAATAGTATCTCTGTAGCTGAATTAAAAACTAAAATTTATTCAATTGTTATTAAATCTCCAAATTATTTGAGTTATGGAAAGCGTCAAATTAATATTATCCACACAAGACTTAGACATAGATGTAGCAATCTAAATGATGATTTGTTTAGGGTTAATTTGTCAGACACTATTTCTTGCCTTTGCGGTTCCCCATGCGAAAATGCTTTTCACTATTTTCTTGAATATAAAAATATTCTTTATTAAGACAATCTTTGTTTATCAACATTAGGAATATAGGGACTCAGCCAAATTTAGAAACAATTCTTTGTGGTAAGAAAAATCTATCTGAAGAACAAAATAACTTAATTTTTAAATATGTCCATAAATTTATTGTAGAAACAAACAGGTATGAAATTGTATCCTAATACAACAAGAATTATAACAAGAATTATATTTCATGAGCTACTTTCAAATTATCTGGATTTTACAAGTGACTGGCACATATAATACATGGTTGTTTCAACACTCCGATTTTGATGTAAAACAAAAGCATTCCCTGTAACTATCACAGCTTAGTTACATTCTAGATTAATTTTCCTGCCCTTCATATAAATTTAAAATGTCTATTACATGTAGTTTATTAACTACTGTGTTATTTTATAAATATATCATGTACCATTGTATACCAAAAATGTAAATTCATCATATGTATATATGTAGATGTATGTGTGAGTGTATGTAGGTATATGTGTTTGTGTGTAATACTGTATATATGAATATGTGTGTTATTATATGTTCTCATTACTTGTAATTCCTATGCAATGTACATTTATTCTGCACCATAGAATTCACATACCACAATGTAATGAAATGTATATAGGAGAAGGCCTCGTAGGTGTGTCAATTTTGCCTAATCCATTTGGTTTTCCGCAATTAAATATGTTTAAATCAAAACCAAGATGAGAGAAACACTTACACTGTCAGATAGATGTATTACCATTGCTAAACTTGAAGAAGACACAGGTCTAAGCCAAGGATTCATTGAAACTAATATTCGTGAACGTTTTCGGATGAATAAGATATCTGCTCGTTGGGTGTTTAAGTTCTGATCTTTAGGAAAAAAGAACTGACATTGCCAGAGAAAATTTAGAGCTAATTGAGAAGGATTTCGTCAAATTAAAAAAAGAGATACGTAACCGCTATGATCCCGAGTCAAAACATCAATTCATGAAATGACACCATTCCAGTTCTCCGGCACCAAAGACATTCAAATCTTCAAGATATGTGAAAAAAAATATTTATGGACACTGTATTCTGGGATGCAAAGGGTGTGATCCTTGCTGATTACCGGTGCAGGATGATTACCGGTGCCTTCTATGCTGACTCGCTTCATCGCCTAAGAGATTCTATCAAAGAAAAGCGGCGAGGAATACTGACTGCTGGAGTTCTATTACTACTTCTAGACAATGCCTCTTCTCACACCTCTCAACTTGCAAAGGCTGCTATGCGACAATGTTGGTTCGTATAAATTCTCACCCTCTATACTCGCCAGACCTGGCACCAAATGATTTCCACCTGTTTTCTGAATTGAAAGAACACCTTCCTGGAAAGTGAATGTTTTTTTCAGAAAACTTCTTCCTGACTGGTAATGAAAAGCTTCACTAGTGACATGAGAAGTGTATTAAAAAGCAGGGAGATTATATTGATTAATATAATTAAAAGTGCTTTCAAAATTGTTGGTTTTGTTTGTGAGCCTCAGAACGTTTTTACCAGCCCTCGCATCACTGCTCTGCAAAACTGTGATGTACTAGAAATCAAAGACGAATAATTATCGTTTTGCACTTCGCAGTTGTATATCCATAGTACTTGAACAATCGGGAAACGTTCATTCCATGTCTTGTCCATGTCAATATTAAAGATAAAAAACTTGTGTGTGATCTGATAAGTTTTGCGCTTTATTTAAAAATACATTTGCCAGGAACTCGTTAAGCACCAATGTATTCATAATTGGTCATCAGTTATATTCATGTAACATGAAGATGTTTGTGCTCGTGGCGACGAGGCCTTCAATTTGGAAATAAACATACAATGTTTTCAATGTAGAGCCAGGTTACCTGTAGATGTAACCGAATTGAAATTGAATTTGGAACCGAACGCGCAGCACTAACCTACACTGAAAACACAGTATGTTTATCTCCATTCTACCATTCTAAATAAAACGCGAACTCTTTAATGTTTGTAAATATATTGAGTGAAGCAGCATTGGTTAGTCCAGTGTTTTGAGTGTATTGATCATGACGATCACAATTTACGAAATCACCGACAACAGCCTTTAAAAAACAATGGAGCTCTTTATGGTCAAGCAGCTTCTTTAGACCGGAATACTTCACACGAACTAATGGCAGGCACTGTAAGTATGTAGCAACGGCAACATCGTAAGCTGACATGAAGTGGGCACCCTAAACAAAAATAAGCAAGCCTTGCCAAGGTTTTAATCTTCACCGCGCGTCACTATCATGATGTCATACGTTCATTGTGAAGCATAAGATATGACCTCACCGTGGTATATAGCGCCAAATAGCAAGCTATTTTCTGTTCACAAAACTTGAAATACAGTCTCTTTGTAGATGTATATCGTATTTTCTGCACGAAATACATTGGCACAAATCCTCTGAATATAGTAGTAACCTCAACTTTGCATTTTGTAGTCTATAATTGTACACATAATTATGTAAATACGCCTACTGACAATGACTTTAAATAAGTACTATTCTAAATATAGTAGCTTCCGTTGTGAATCGGCTGTTTCAATCAGTGGCCAGGGGGAATATTTTGATTTGATACCTCTGATCAATCACAATCGAATATATTCCAAATTCATAGTAGAATGCTGAATAAACTATTTCTGTTCAAAATATTATAATAATTATAAGAATGCATAAAGCGTTTGCTATTGTGAGGAAAATAGTTTTAGAAGTATAATGCTAAGGGTTGAGTGCGTTGGGTTTAATGCCTGTATGAACGGTATTTTAGTTACATTGCGGCATGTTAAGTTAATGTTGGACAGACTGTGGTACGTCAGACGTCTTTAGGCTTTGGTGAAAACCACGGCATAACCATGCTGCTGACAAACCATGCATCATAATCAACGCGAACCTGGGATTAGTACCCTTGATAATAGGGACGCAAGTCTGCTCAGGGATTATTTCGGCGCATTACACAACTGAAATTACTAAAATCAATATATCAGAAGAGTTATGCTTATGTTTTACCAAGGTTGAATTATATACATCTGTCATTCCTGATCATTTTCGCAGTAAAGCTGATTCTTCGTATTACAAACGATATAGGTTACACAGGTTGTGCGACTGTTTGTGAATGACATTCAGGAACAGATCTTCTGATGCAATTTGATGTCTTTCGAATTTGTTATATCTGCATCAGCTGGCTCAGTTTTCGCTGAAGCGTCCACAGTTGTGTCGGCCAGGGGGGCGCCCTTAGTTTCCCGAGTCAGCAGTGACAGTAAGGTGCAGACAACCATCGCTGATCCCACAATGACAAAAGGTGGCAGAAGATCATCACCTCCCTGAAAGTAACGGCCATGTTCTTATTGTGCTTTCATGTATGGCTCTTGCAGGTATATACATGTTACAGGAAATATGTATAATCAGTCAACAAAAACTAAATTGTTCTTGTTTGTTAAGTCTATCCTATGTTTGATGTAGCATTGTTTTGATTACAGTGAAGACTAATTGTTAAGTTAAGTGAAAGGTATTTGTTATCATGTCAAATATATTTGTCTTCTCATAAATAATTTGTTTGTTTTTTTATCAAGTTTGACCACATAAGAGCCTCAAAAGTAATTTCAGGGAATGTGTCTAAAAAACGTGATGTTAAATCAGGGAATATGTATCATACCTGAACATTTTAGTGATTATATATATTCCCTGAGTGAATCAGACATATATTCCCTGAAAATTTCAGGGATTATAGATATTCCCTTGTCATACATATTCCCTGTAACATATACGTGTGATATGCTTACACCCGTTGATATTACATTTTTATTATGATAATCGTTCAGCCTAGACTCTGGATGTACCACGTTTTTTCTATGATTACTTGCCTTAGAAAGCACTTCTGAAATATGTTTCTAGTATGTTTACCGGCGGTGCAGTGTCCTCAATAGTGAGGTATATGTTAACCCGCTACCGCAAATCCTGCTTCAGTGATATGATAGTGAATGTTTTTGTTATTATTTGAGTTTAATTATCGCATTTAGCTTGTTGAGGTATCAGGGAATGAATTACCCTAATCTATTACATAACTAAAGTCAGTTGTCCACATTTTAAATTTCCCGAAAGTGCAGGGGACTAGCAATGACTCACCATGGCAAATACATATGGAGAAACGATACCCCCAAGACGAGATGCAATGTTAGCACCGCCATAGCCCAAGTTCCTGGAAGAGATGATTTAAAAGAATCACTGAAAATAATGTCACATCAGTGACCAAACGTACAACACATCTGTGAATAATATGTTAAAAGACTAAACTCGTTAGGTTGGGGTAAACAATACAGCATCTCACATATCCCGTATTTTCAGTGTTATCGTGCTTCTAAAGTAGAACGATTATTACCAGATAATACCTACGCTGATATCGGTGACATAGTATTCAGTAATTCGCTTACAACACTAGAGACAGATAATCCGTACTTCCTCGTGACGAATGTTATTCTTTAGATGGCCAACGCTTGAGGGATACTATCCCTGCCTATTTATACCTGATCACGGTGGGGTAGGATTCACTGGTGAAAACAAGGTAGCAGCTCCAGGCTGATGATGCACCAAGCCTACATATCAAGGCCAGTGTTGTTGTTGCTACTCCTCGGATACTTTCAGACATATCTATAATAAACACAGAGGCGATATACAGGTATGAGCCTAATTGTGACAGAACAATAACCCTGGTTGTTATGTTCAACAAATTTCATTATCATACTGTAAAGCAGTAAACCTTTAATGTGTATCGATCGATGTCACTGATTGGATTCAGAATAGAAAAGGTCACTAGCATATCAAGAAATTAGATCGTGTGTTGACAATATGTAATCTGGTTGATGGTTAACGTACATGGCCAGTTAGTTGTTAATGCCAACAGTCACTGACTGGTGTGGTCCAGATTGGTTTCTTTCTAATATTGATGTCTTTTGCGGACAACACTCACTCACTCACTCAGTATTTCGTACAGCACATACCAACTCTAGTTGCAATGACGACACCGAATGCTCCACAAGTAGCCAACACGAAGAATGAGAATCCCGTCCATCTCCGCCCAATCCTGGTGATTAGGATTGTCCGGTCTTAATTCCATTTACGAAAATACCAATGATCGATTTAAAATTTATATAAAATGTTGTACATTTGATATTGACTTACAGACTTATACAATTAAAATATAAATGAAAGTAAATCGTGATTTCGATCAATCTTGGTCTTTATTTATTTCTAAATATGTGTATATTGTTGTACTGTGACACATGAGATAAAAAAATTTGAAAAATAAGTCGATCATTTCAACGTATCCAGTAATGCTGACCTGTTGTTCAAGAAAAACACGGCTACTTCACTGGGTAAAGAAATCACTGATACGAGGAACATGTTGACATATAGGTTCCCAGTCAAGCGCCCCACCCCGAATGAGATGCCATAGTAAACGAAGGACACGAGCAACCTGCAGGAAACAGCGCACACAGATCATGATCAAATGCAGGACATTAAACAGCGAACACATGACATTGAATACTTGGCCAAGTAAAATGATCCTGAAACCATTTCATTCCCTGTTTCAGAATATTTTTTGGCTGTTGAATATTTTTTGGTTGTGTGTGCAAGTACAATGCTACCTCTTTAGTCCGGAAAGCAACTTGTTTGGATTACAGGCCGCTTTATTCCACCGATAGGACATGTAAATAATCAAGTCAAGACCAGGCAATCTTGTGGTTGATATTATGAGCAACGATACACGGTATCGGGGTACGATGACACGCAATCAACTAGTCATCGAACAGCATCATCCGATCCATTCGGTCACATCTGACATCAATCATGCGTGTAGGACGCTGGTGACTTATTTGCTAACCCGGAATCAACATGCGCTCCTGAAATCCTATATCAAGGACGTTGTTGCGATCATCCTTGTCGTAAAAGGCGACTAACGGGATCAAGTGGACAGGCTCGCTGACTTTGTTGATGCATGTCATCGTATCCAAATTACTTAGATCGAGATCCGTGAAGATTCCGGGGTAGAATAGGTCTTCAGCAACCTATACTTGCCGTAAAAGGCGACTATGCTTGTCGTAAAATGCGACTAACGGGATCGGGTGGTCAGGCTCGCTGAGTTGGTTGATACATGTCCTCGTATCCCAATTGCGTGGATCAATGTTCATGCTGTCAATCACTGGATTGTCTGGTCCAGACTCGATTATTTACAGACCGCCGTCATATAGCCGGAATATTGTTGAGTGCGGCGTTAAACAACAAACAAACAAAAACAAACAAAACTTAGATCGATGCTTAAGATGTCAATTACTGAAATGTCTGGTCCATTCGGCATTAAACAAACAAACAAGTCATTAACCAGTTTTAAAATATTTACACTCATGAAGATCAAAAGAATATCACTTTATATTTATGATTTATTAATCTGAAAACAAACGGTTTGTTTTTGTAAAGTTCTCTTGTATCGTTTGTATTACAGCAGTTTCAATACTGAATCCTATTGTGGCCGAGAGGGGACATCGCTTTCTCGCTTTATCGCGGAAAACAAATATCCCTTCTTGACCACTATAGGGGCTGCATGTGCTACCTGTTTCTATTGGGAAGGAAAGTTAAACTTTTCTCACTATTTAATTAAAACATAATTCAACTGTACAGACGAAGGTGATTTTAAAACAATCCACAGAGTTTTGCGTAAAATGTAATTGATTGATTTATGGCCCTATTTGGTTGTGACCATCACGCCGAACGCGCGTGGCAGATCATGGCAATGCGCTCTAAATAAATCACGTTAAAATCTAAATATATACTTTTCAAAAGAGTGAGTGAGTTGGGTTTAACGCCGCTTTTAACACTAATCCAGTTATATCACGGCGTGTCAGCTTAATGTGGGAGGAAAGCCCGAAGTGATGAAGGTCTAAGACGTTTACCACTTCGGTGAAACCCACGATCACGGGTATGGTGCTGACAAACCTAGAAAAATAATTGGGGTGAACCGGGATTCGAACCCACAATCATAGGTTTCTGGCGTGCCCAAGGGAAGCAACTCTGCACAGCGAATCGTTGCGCCTTAGACGACTGGGCCACCCGTGCCCCCACTTTTCAAAAGAAGTTAAGAATACATTGTACCATGGTTAATTAGTCATGGCTGATTGTATTGCAAAATACAATCTTATAATTGTGGGTGTTCTATAAACTGTTTTCGGTAGTATATGATGTTACAAATATATTCTTTTTGACATTTGATGTATGATCAACTTGTATTGTGTCTCTTGTCTTGTGCAAAGCTACAAGTACATGTACTTGCATATCGTAATTTGATAAACACCGCCATGAGTGAGTGAGAATGGTTTTACGTCGGTTTTAACGACAATCCAGCAATGGGCTTCACACATTGTACACATGTGGGGATTCAAACTGGGTCTTCGGCTAGACGAGTGAACGCTTTAACCACTAGGATATCCCACTGCCCCCATCCATCGATGTGGAGTTATCACAGTTGAAATGTGTACTGGTGTAAACCTACACATATGGAGATACATACTAATTAGTGTGGCCACATAGTCAACGTTGATAATAATCTGAAGTGCATTACTATGATTATCTATAATATATGTTAAATCAGCTATCATTGCAATATTCTTATGTATATCTTAAGTATAGTTTTGTCAAAATTATGTATGTGTGTGTGTTTGTGTGTGTGTGTGTTTTGTGTGTGTGAGTGTGTTTTTGTGTGTGTGTGTGTGTTTTTTTGTGTGTGTGTGTGTGTGTGTGTTTTTGTGTGTGTGTGTGTGTGTGTGTGTGTGTGTGTGTGTGTGTGTGTGTGTGTGTGTGTCTCATTGTCTGTGTAACAATGTAGTAGATAACTACATAACCCACATCTGAACGCACAATTGTTCACAATATGGTTTAATAGATGGATAATTTTTACATAAACATGTATATTCCTGCTTCAGCCTATACTATTATCTGATATCTAGTCTCCCCTGGCGAGAAAGTTAAACTCTATTTTATAAGCACTTTAGCATTAATTTAATTCCCGAAGACAGTTTGATCGAAAGGCATTATAAGAAACGAGTTGTTTTAAAATAATATGTACAACACATTTCATTTATATTGTCCAAGGAATGAGGTTACGGGTAAATGACGCTCGCAAAAGTTGTATAGGTGACTTAAGGTAGAGACATATACTAGTATCTAATCGATCTGTAACATAACTGTGTACATGTATAACTTTTGTCTGCATAATGTACAGACAATTGTTCCAGTTCAATTTATCCTTTCAAGTTTCAGTTTTAAGATTGATGGAAGAATGTGTGTGTGTGTGTGTGTGTGTGTGTGTGTGTGTGTGTGTGTGTGTGTATTATGAAAATATGAACAATGACTATTCTGTTGTAGTCTGTCAATCTTGCTTATTTACTACACTACAAGAAAATAAACACGTGTGAAAACAAAGTAAACGAGATAACATTATGTACCTGTATGTATATGTAACGTATTTATCTACTACAGGATGTTGAAAAAATCCAATTATGAGAGGCAAAATAGCGGTGGTATTTATAAGAATGAATCACTGAATATCAGCAAAAACCGTTTTAATGGACGGCTTTATGGGAAATATAGCTCTCTCGCTCTGTCGCCTTCTCGCTTTCTCGCTCTATCGCTTTTTCTAATGACAAAACATCGTCATATGAAAGAATCGGGTGCTCTTTAACTTCTTTTGAATCACTCGTCTTACTTCTTTTGAATAGTACGTACTGTAAATCTTGAAATAAACCTTAGACTTAATTCAAATGCAAAAAATGAGAGTAGACTTTATTAATTAAACTTTGCATTTATGACTCAGAAATGACTGTTGATAAGACGTCCGCACACTTTGCATAGCGGGAATACCAACTTGAATATAAAACCAATCAAATATTTCCACATTACGGTTTACTGAGAACAATATGTCATTCAAACATTAGAAATTACATAATGGACATCCGGTAGTATTACCATTGGTATGGTTTGATGATATCTACTCCGCAAACAGAATAAACATTGATATAACCTACATGTAAGTGTTGTTTTTAGGAAAACACTGTTGTTTTTTTAGGAAGTTCTCTACTCAGCGCAAATAAGCGGTGTTATTTGCTGTTTGTTTTGATAACTAGGCCTGGGGATGGGGGATCCAATAAAACTCCTAAATTGGGCCATAAATCAATCAAATACTTTTTTACGCAGAAATCCAAGGATTGTTATAAAAGCACATACGTCTGTACTGTTAAAATTATGTTTAACTAAGTAGATCTAAATAAATAACTGAAATGTGACTGGAAAAATCTCAGCTCTCTTTTATGATTAAAACCCACCTCAGCTTCCGCCCACTGATGTCATGTTTAACAATTCATTAATGTTGTTTTACGTATATACTTTTTATCGTATAGAAACACATAACACATGCGACCCCTATAGTGGCCAAGAGGGAATATTGCTATACCGCGAGACAGCGAGAAAGCGAGAAAGCGATAGAGCGATAGAGCGATAGAGCGATAAAGCGAGAAAGCGATAGAGCGAGAAAGCGAGAAAGTGATGTCCCCTCTCGGCCACCATAGAATCCCGAGTGTACGCGTTACTTCATTAATTCTTCATAAAGGTATATGACTTCAGTTCTACTTGAATTTGTCTGCTTGCAATAAACGGTACAAGATTTTTATATAAAAAATCTCACCAAATAACTTGGTGGACAATAGATTTCCTGAACATACTCCAGCCTCGATAGATGTCCAAATAGGTGTATTTGCGATCAGAGTCGCTACCTCTTCTTTCTTCCTCTGACAGTTTCTTCAGAAGGATCTCAGTGTTCGCTGGCTTCTCTCTTTTGTTGTAGCGCGCCATCTGATCCACCACCTCCTCTGCCTCCTCCAGCTTACCATGAACTGCCAGGTACCGCAAACTTTCTGGCACAACGCTGCAGAGTCAGCAAATAGAAGTTGTTGTCACCATTGCTATTGAAGTTTGTTCTGTTTAACTACTATAGACTATAAACTAACCCCAAAATCTAATGAATTGAACAAGACATGACGTCAGCCTAAGGAGTAAACATACATGGCAAAGTTCAATTTCCCGAAGCTGACAATGTCCGGCGAGAAGACGATGACCGAGCCAAAGAGTATAGTCAAACAAGGTCAAACTTAAACATAGTGAAAGAAAATCAGAACATACGTTCAGCCCCACTACTAACTACACATGTGCCAAATTTGATTTCAATCTGAACATGGGCAACTGAGCAATGGCCATGAGTTGCATTTTCAATATGGCTGACGAGGTGACCATTTTGAAAAACGGATTCAAATCTGATGAACAAATTTGAATATTATAATTTGTGGAAACAATCAAGTGAAGTTTCAGCTTTTTTCCACTGGCTTCTGGGGAGATGATGTTTATAATAGTGCAAAGACACTGAGAGAATTTAGGAGAATAGTGCTAAGGTCAGTGGAAGGCGAACTTTGAAATATCGTGAAAACCGGAACATATGTTATGAATCCCACTGCTAACTACACACATCCCAAATTTAATTCCATTTTGAAAAGGAATGGCCATAAATAGGATTTTTAATATTGCTGACGTATTATGTTATGAAGTTGATCACTCTCATATCCAATTTCAAAATGCCACTCATGGGTCTTGTCGTAAAAACAATAACACTACATGAAATTTCAAAATACAATTCTTTTGATGTCGGGTGTGTGTCACAGGTAAAACACCATTTCAAACACATGACATATACAATATACAATATACATAATTTTCTCTGCAGTAAATAGAAAATGGATATACTAACAGGTATCCGAATAAAAAGGGGACTTGAATGGCTGCCAATATAATGTGTAGATCAGACCAGTTCGGTCGCAACCAACAAGTAAGAGAAAGCAGAGCTGATCCGACTGGCCAGAAGGGAATAGCGGCGATGATTGGACGCCAACGGGTCCCTATGAACTCCATTGTGTAGGTAAAACTCACCACCAGGAAGGAACCAACCATCAAACCAATACAAAATCTGAAAAAAAGATAGGCACACACAATGAGTGAATATTAGCTTAACCTGCTTTCAGTCTTTATCAAGCTTTTTACATGTATATTCAGCGGGGAACAATAACGGACTTTATACTTTTTACAAATGTGGAGATTTAATTGATAATAAAAATAATAATATGTAAATTTCTCATTCATTGCAATAGCAGGTCGTAATGGTACCATCTTGTTTCAACATAAGGAATGATTTCATACATGCCTCAACGCAATAAACATCTGCCATGATGTTGAAAATGCTGCCACCAAGTTAAACACTGCGTGGAGGAACAGCGAGATGTAATAGGTCTTCTTTCTCCCAATGACGTCAGCAGATTGACCACTGATGAACGCCCCTAGCAGCACTCCCGTCATCTGTATTGCTGTTATCAATGGCTTTATCCCTTCCATATCACACAACAGGTTCCACTGGAGAAAACATGTGATTCTGCATTCACCAACGTGCTTCAGTGTTTACCATGTTAATTTAAAAATGCTCCGACAACTACATTAAAGCAGGACACGTGACTTGGGATACAAACAAACATAACTGTGTATACAATGGTTGTTGGTGTCCTTCAATTACACCTGGAACACCGTGCTATGATAATATATACCCGGAGCACCGTACTATGATAATATATACCTGGAGCACCGTGCCATGATAATATATACCCGGAGCACTGTGCTATGATAATATATACCTGGAACACCGTCCTATGATAACATATACCTGGAGCACCGTGCTATGATAATATATACCCGGAGCACCGCCCTATGATAATATATACATGGAGCACTGTCCTGAGATAACATATACCTGTAGCACCGTGCTCTGATAATATAAACCTGGAGCACCGTGCTATGATAATATATACATGGAGCACCGCGCTATGATAATGTATACCTGGAGCACCGTCCTGAGATAACATATACCTGTAGCACCGTGCTCTGATAATATAAACCTGGAGCACCGTGCTATGATAATATATACATGGAGCACCGCGCTATGATAATGTATACCTGGAGCACCGTCCTGAGATAACATATACCTGTAGCACCGTGCTCTGATAACATAAACCTGGAGCACCGTGCTATGATAATATATACATGGAGCACCGCTATGATAATATATACCTGGAGCACCGCGCAATGATAATATACACCTGGAGCACCGTCCTATAATAATATATACCTGGAGTACCGTCCTGATCATGAGATAACATATACCTGGAGCACCGGACCCGTCCTATGATAATATATACCTGGAGTACCGTCCTGAGATAACATATACCTGGAGCACCGGACCCGTCCTATGATAATATATACCTGGAGCACTGTGCTATGATAATATATACATGGAGCACCGTCCAATGATAATATATACCTGGAGCACCGTGCTATGAAAATATATACCCGGAGCACCGTCCAATAATAATATATACCTGGAGCACCGTGCTATGATAATATATACATGGAGCACCGTCCAATAATAATATATACCTGGAGCACCGTGTTATGATAATATGTACCTGGAGCACCATCCTATGATAATATATACCTGGAGCACCGTGCTATGACAATATATATCTGGAGCACCGCACTATGATAATATAAACCTGGAGCACCATGTTAAGATAATATATACCTGGAGCACCGTCCTATGATAACATATACCTGGAGCACCGTCCTATGATAATATATACGTGGAGTACCGTCCTGAGATAATATATACCTGGAGCACCGTCCTATCATAATATATACCTTGAGCACCGTCCTATGGTAATATATACCTGGAGCACCGTACTATGATAATCTATGCTTGGAGCACCGTCCTTTCATAATATATACCTTGAGCACCGTCTTATGATAATATGTACCTTGAGCACCGTGCTATGATAATATATATATATGGAGCACAGCGCTATGATAATATATACCTGGAGCACCGTCCTGAGATAACATATACCTGGAGCACCGTGCTATGATAATATATACCTGGAGCACCGTCCTATGATAATATATACCTGGAGCACCGTGCTATGATAATATATACCCGGAGCACCGTCCAATAATAATATATACCTGGAGCACCGTGCTATGATAATATGTACCTGGAGCACCGTCTTATGATGATATACACCTGGAGTACCGTCCTGTGATAATATGTACCTGGAGCACCATCCTGCAGTGATATATACCTGGAGCACCGTACTATGATGATATATACCTCGAGCCCCATCCTGTTATGATATATATCTGGAGCACCGTACTATGATAATATATACCCGGAGCACTGTGCTATGATAATATATACCTGGAGCATCGTGCTATGATAATATATACCTGGAGCACCATCCTATGATAATATATACCTGGAGCACCGCGTTATGATAATATATACCTGGGGCACCACGCTGTGATCATCTATACCTGGAGCACCATCCTGCAATGATATATACCTTGAGCACCGTCCTATGATAATATATGCCTGGAGCCCCATCCTGTATATATATATATATATCTCGAGCACCGTCCTATGACTATATACACCGGGAGCACCGTGCTATGACAATATACACCCGGAGCACCGTGTTATGATAATATATACCTGGAGCACCGTGCTATGACAATATACACCCGTAGCACCGTGCTATGATGATATATACCTGGAGCACCATGCTATCATAATATATACCTGGAGCACCGTGCTATCATAATATATACCTGGAGCACCGTGCTATGGTAATATATACCTGGAGCACTGTGCTATGATAATATATACCTGGAGCACCGCGCAATGATAATATATACCTGGAGCACCGTCTTATGATAATGTATACCTTGTGCACCGTGCTATGATGATATATACCTGGAGCACCGTCCAATAATAATATATACCTGGAGCACCGCGCTATGATAATATATACATGGAGCACCGTCCTATGATAAATTATATCTGGAGCACATATTCATTCTCTAATGATATATACCTGGAGCACCGTCCTGTAATGATATATACCTTAAGCCCCATCCTGTAATGATATATACCTGAAGCCCCATTCTGTGATGACATATACCTGAAGCCCCATCCTATGATGATATATACCCGGAGCACCATCCTGTAATTATATATACCTTAAGCCCCATCCTGTAATGATATATACCTGGAGCACCATCCTATGATGATATATATACCTGGATCTGCATCCTATAATGATATATACCTGGAGCACCATCCTATGATGATATATACCTGGATCTGCATCCTATAATGATATATACCTGAAACAGTATTCTGCAATGATATATACCTCGAGCACCAATACACATTTTTGGACAGAAGGTATTTCCAAGCGTATACTCCTGCATGTGGCAATAGTAATACTGCTATATTCATAACATTCACAACCATCCCAGCACATATGCAGACTAGCTAAAAATACCAAAACTGCTCATCTGCACTAACAATGGTTGTGTCTTACCTCATTGATGACCGTGTCCTTCTCTTGACTGTACACAAAGGTGCAGGAGCTTTCGTTGCCTGCTACCGGACATTTCTTCAGACCAGTGTAGTTGTTGATGCCGACATTTTCACCAACGACGTCCGTACACCACCATTTGTCAGGGAATACTCCCGCGAACGACATCATCAACATTCCCCATGCTATCATACCCTTCGGAACCATGATTAGCAGCATGATCGTGATCTGGAACCGGGACATTCCACCCACGCCGTCTATAATCTCGTCAGAGTACATCCTTGTGTCTGCTCACGGATCTGGAGATGCAAATACACGTTCCACTGTTTTATGTGCCTTTTCGGTATTACGTTTTCTAATTAGATCATGACGGATTGTGTAAATTACCTTACATAAAGTTCACTTTAAAAAATATACTGTTTCTCCTTCGACAACAGTTAAACATATCAGCAGGTAAGACCACAACTCTTTGTTCCAGACCACGCAAACGAAACGGCGTAAAGCGTCAACCAAAGAAATCATGCATAATTCAATTATGCATGACTTTGACATGCGGAGTTGTAAATTATGATAATGTGTGGAACATTGTAAAGGTTACATTGTGTGTGGAGCGTTCGGCAACATGGGATATATACGAGACGCTTTATTAACCACTTGACGTCGGGTACTGCCATTGTATATGTCCTTCCTTTTCAAGTGAGTGAGTGAGTGAGTTGGATTTAACGCCGCTTTTAAAAGTATTCCAGTTATATCACGGCGTGTCAGCTTGATGATGGAGGAAAGCCCGAAGTGATGCTGGTCTCAGACGCTTACCACTTCGGTGAAACCCATCACTCACGAAATACATTTTACAGTTGTGGTTTCTGCAAGTACTGATTTATTTTTGACCATTTCAGGTAAAAGGAAAGTACACATATGGACGAAAATAAGGTACATATAGTAAATAGTGTGGGCAACTTTCAATTATATAAATATCACATAAGTGATCTTAGTATCCCTCCTTTATCAGAACCTCAAAAATCATTCTGAAAAACCCCGCAAATAACGAAAGAATGTGTTGAGAGAAACACGAACTCCGAACTTTCCGTAATTTTGAATGGTGTTAAATTAACTACATTTCGCGAATGCCGATAATGAGACGCTGATTACAGCACACATATTTTACACTCAGTTGCGACACATACATCCGTCATTTCATTATATATATCTGTATCCCCTGGATACGTCCTATCAAACGACGATAATAGTTTGTACTTGTTTACCCTGCCTGGCGCTCGGCATTGCGGAGCTAAAACAAGCACTGGTCGGCTCGGAGTCAGTATGATATGTGTCTGAGTTGCGTGTCCATGTTAATCTGAAGCATGGTCTAACACTATGAAACCGACCATGTCCGGACAAGTACAATCAGCCACACACACACGCGCGCATAAATTATATGAGTGAAACATCAATAAACGCGACGTCAAACTCTATTCACCCACACCCACCTAATTCATGTTTGAATGAAATGACACCCTATCTCTGTCACTTATATATCCGACGGAAGTTAATTCAAGCAAACTTAATAAGTTTCCTCTGAAAACCGTACTATATTGAAAATGTAAAGAAGGCATAACATCGTTTTACCTTTGGACTGTGAGCATTCCCTTACCTCACACTCATGGTGTTAACAAACATTTATCTCAACATTTAAGCTTTCAGAAACAAATGTTTGTGACGTACCTTCGGGGCAGTTCGAGTATTTTAAGAATGGTATCTGTAGACAATATATGCTCCACCCCAAGATGGTGCTTAATTGCACGTTGTGACGGTCGTGACGACCTCTGCTTTTATCGGAGGGCGCCTTGTATGTAACTATGTCAAGTGAATGCGAACTTCAAGTACTTGTAATCATGTTTGCATAAGAACGCCACAGAAGTGTGTTAGACAAGCATGACATGAGGGCAGATGGGGAGACTACGTTCTGCTGTCTGCTTTGTTTACAATATATCAAGCTCAAAGTTACACGTACAAAGAATGAATTTGTGCCACGCTCGTAAACTGTATCTGACCCGGAATAGCCAACAGGGCCCGTAGACAAACCACGCTGTGCTTGATTCATGAGGATCATGTACTACGGGAACTACCAGTTTACTCATGTTAGCATCCTGAAACTATTTACATACAGAAAAGGTTGAGCCCAGTCCTACACATTATTAAATACATGACCTTAAAAATGTATTTACAATTTTTGAATATTTTACTTCAATAAATGTCAACCATTACTCACATTATATATATATGTCTGTTACATTATGTAGTCGGGCAGTTAATGGAAGACCTCAGGCTTCTGCAAATGATAATGCCCTGAAGAATAGCGTGATCCTTATATCAACATGGGTCACCGCAACATTTCCCATCATCAATCATATATTTGTACCTGTACAACATAACCCTCCAACCTCAATTCTTATCACTGTATTTCAGTTCTCGTCCCTTTATATTCAGCACGTTGTATAAGAATGCGATGCACTGTCCTCCTAGCTTGTATATTATTGTTTATTTGTTTTCTTTTATGTACACGCCCATAGCGAACAAAGCTTTTAATGGTCCACGCAATATTTACAACGTCCCCTTTTGACAGCGCGACCTGTAACCTTCTTGTAGATGGAGGTGTTACGCAACGTGAACCAAAGGTTAGAAGAGTTAGGTCAGTAACCCGTGAATATGAATTGTATTTTCAAGTATAAATCAACACATGGCTGTAAGTAACCTGAGTATTCAAAACATATGACACTAAACAATACAACATATATGCACGATTCTATTTTCCTGCAATCCTTTGCACAAACTGAATCATCAAAAAATGTAATTATACATGATGTGTAGCATGTATAGACATGCGCCTTGCTAAATGCATTCACATGTAGGATCATATAGTTATAAACCTGCAATAAAACACATGCAGATATCAATATTAGACGTCTCCAACACGAAATATGCAAACAAAATAAAACAATTAGTATGAAACAGCAATTGAAATATTTGAGAACATACATATATACTTACTTAATGCTTACGCTTCTTCTTTAACGACTTATGTTTCATGTAACTTCGAATCAATCCTTAAGGGATGCTGGTTTCGGGTCCCCTTGTAGCCTCCTGTATAGTATAATGTTCCAAGTGAACCTTGTAGTATTTCTCTCAAATGGCTATTTTATGCGCTAATATCCTTATGCTGTGTAAACGCCATCGCCCTTTAAATGCAAGGTGATAGTTTGTGCCTGTTCGGGGTTAACTGTTGTTAAGTATGGGTTGTCATGCCCATATCAGATTTGTCCAGTTGAAACGGAGTAGCTTGATTGTCCGAGCGACAACTGGAGTTAGTTGGCCCATTTAGTATGGATGGGAACCTTTCTGTGCTCGACGTTGTTTGTACGTAAAATGCTGCAAGTCATCAGCGATGTAATAAGGTTCTTCAAATCGTTTGCCTTACTTTTAACATTGCTCTTCAGCACAGGCTGTTGAGTGGAACCACGCCTCGTCTCCCAGGTGGAAGAAGTATTCGTGTCATAGTAACATTTCGCTCTTTCATGAGACTCCTGTAGATTGGTAAGCGTGATATTTTAGTAACGTCAATATGATGTGAGATAACAGCAACCGTTACAACTGACTGTAAAACCCTCACCACTCACCAAGCGCTGAAACCATCTAACACATCACTTTGATTCGTTAAAAAATATATCAGGGGAGCTCATGTTTGTGTCGTGATCGGAAATTACCGAGAACTTCTTTCCGGTGGGTCAATGATTTTCTAAATGATCTAATGTATTATATATTTCACGATTAATGTATTGTGTCTCTCGTGATTTACTAAACAGGAAACGACAGCATCAAATCTATCAGTATGTTGAACTTGTCAGAATTTCAATAGGTTTGTGGGATGCATTTTATCTTGTAACAATATGTACCCGAAATAGTTGTAAAACATAATTAGCCCCCGATCATTTGGCTTCATGATTTCCGCAAGGAATTGTTCAGGACACGTATAAGTTTCCTGTTTCATGCCGCTACCATTTGTACCCCTTGATTCCACTGTTTGTAGCAGCCCAGCCAGTGCAGCAGAGCAAGACATTTATGAAAGATGGAACGAACCCGCCTTAACTTCGGATGCAATCACATCGAATGGCCCCGATGGCGTTGATCGTTGTTCATGCTTGCAAGCACTGATTTGATTACAGATGGCTGTGTAACATCAACGTTACAAATTGCTACGTAAAACAACGTTCACTCAGTCACTTACAGTACATTTACATGTATGTAGGGCTAGTCAGTCACTGTCATGACCACACAACCCTCCATTATACACCATGTAGTGTATTAACTAGGCCATGTCAATGTAGCAGGAGATAGCTGATGTGTAAACAGAGGGACACATTCTCCCTCTATGAAGGTAAGGGGTCATCCCTGGGTCACCCCGAGGGCTCTTACGTACGATAATGTTTGTACAAAGTATAGTATTCACAAACCACAGACACTATCATGTTGGACCGGCTAGCTCAGTGTACTTCCCAGGTAGTGTGAGGGAGACAAACAGATCAATATCAATATCGCCTATTAAATCTCTCTGAACAGCTAATATACAGGGCAGATATGAACGAAATAAACTGTAAGGTGGCGCCACGTGGTCCTGTTCACAGCGCACAGGTCACTAATCAGGTGAAGTTAAGCAATGTTGGTCACCTTGGATAGGTTGAGTTTCTAGAGCTTTGGTCGAAATGTGTCTCTGTTTACCTAGCACTGAATGGGTACCCGGTAGGATGAGATGACAATACGGTTGTTGCAGCTTGGGTTGTATACTCTTTAGGGAGATGAGAATGATGGTTGAGTGCACACTGATCCATTGACAAGGGTAATACTAGTGAAGACCTTCCACATGCCCCTGTGGTGTGGATATAGCGCAATAGAAATAGTCTCATTATTAATATTATCATTATTATTATAAAGTTGTTGTTTTTATAAGACGTATCGTAGTGGCACGAATTTCCACGAGCAAACATTCAGTTAATGGAACAAAGATTTACACGGAGGGGCATGGATATAACTGCAAACATTTGAGTTCTTCTCTCTGAAGTTGTTTTGTTTATTGATCACCGGCTGGCTCGTTCCAATTGTTCCATCGTTTTAATTGTTAGCGAAAGAGGCTTATAGCAAGGCCATATGTGCTCGCATTGTCGCAATTTATTGAAAATGTAGTCATCCATTGCTCATGGCGTCATAAACGGTCGCATGTGACGTCTTTCTAAAACAGGCCAACAGAATCCATTTGAAATCAGGAACGCCACCTTTGATCTTCTCTTTCTCAGAATAAAAGACAACGGGAAACATGAAAACTAACCTTCTCAGAAGTCGGAATTACGGATCTGTCGATCGTGAAATGATGTTCTTTGGCAAGGGTCGAGACTTACAAACTTTAGTCATGCGGGACAGATAATGTGTTATACATGTAGGTTATTCTTAATTAGATCCTTCTCGATTCTAAATGGCCAGTCAGAGGTTTCAAATCACAGTAACCACCTCATGAAACAGCTGGCTTGACGGCCCCATCACCGCATAATATAAGGAAATATTTAAAGAAAAATGCTTCTTTCTTATTCAGTGAATGTAGGCACTATGAAATCGTAATATGTATACTTGTAGGTGATAATATGGAGAGTTGCCATAACAATAATGTGTGTGTGACATAGACAATAATTCACGAGGATTGACGGATGTCTCTCAGCGACAGATAATCCGCCATTCCTCGTCACGAGTAGTTTATTGTTTGTATTTTACCCATCATCAAATTTAAACATAAAAAGCTAAAAAGGAAACATCTACATTTATCCTTATGAGAGAGTCGAAGTCACATTTTGAAATATTCCTCCGCGTGTGAAACGGCATCAAGTTCCTGGAATCTCACTGAAAAACCATCTGACTACAGTTTGATCCAACGATAGTCAAAACGTTCAATGGAAACATATCTATATCATGGAATGTTAAACCAAATATTCCTTCATTCAGAACTGGGAATAATTTTGTTTTCATTTATTTATATATATTAAGTAATTCACAGAAGGTGACATAGGATACTTTAAACCATTCACCAGTTTCACGGATGTCATTACGCTAACAGCAGGCTTACATCATTACAGAGTGGAAATGAGAAAAAAACACTTGCGATTTCTACAATGTGAACCCCAACAAATTGCTTAAAAAGATTCTTCAAAAAGTGAAGAGTATTCCACAAACATTTTTATGTGAACAAATGTTTTCAAATAACAGTCAGTGTCAAACAAACATTGGAAGCTGCTCAACCCTGACCTCGAAGTGATTAGTGTTTTTGCAGCACGAAGTTACAAAACGGTCTGTGCTGAGAAGAGTTTGCAGTAGTGTACACTTATTCTGAATCGGATGATGAATCTTCGACACAGCGACGCATGGAATAAGTTTTATTTTGAATACACCGCTGTAAGTTGGACGGGAAGAGAGGGAGTGTATCAGATCTGCATTTTGTGTTTTGTGAATTAGATGACAGAACCACGCCATGTTCTTGTCCCGATGTACATATGGGTACCGCGTGAGAGTTACAAAAGGCAGTGGAGAGTGCATTTACGGACATTGGCCTTGCACCGGGTTTAATCAACGCATTTGAACTTGACAGAATATTAGAAAGTACCGCGGTGTTGACTTTCGGTGGTTTGCGAGTATGCGTTGATTGAATTGGATGTTTTTATGACAAGTAATGTGCATTATTTGATTTTAGATCCATATATCTTATCCTTACTTAGTACTCCAACTTCTAAATGC